GCATTTAACTAATTGCAATGAATAGATAATATTCAAGTGACAATTTTCGAGTGATAATTCTCAAGTGACAATATTCAACTGACAAACGGTAGCTGACAATGGCTAAATGACAATTGCTAGCTGAGTGACAGTTGAATAATTAACTAACTCAACTCGTTTGCAGCTTTGTGAATTTTCGTTTGCGGCAGCAGCGGTTAGGCGTGTCACCAGTCMAAAAGAATTAAATTTTTATAATTTAAATGGCAAGTAAATGAACAAATTTATGAATAAGCGCGGCTTAAAGCGAATCGATTTGATTGGATTTAGGCGGTTATATACACATATATTCGAAGCGACAGACGCGCAGACAGTAGTGACAATCATCTTAATATGCTTTGAGCTGTGCTCATTCTGTCTGACATTGATGTTGACAATTTGAAAAGAAGAAATATGGAAAAGTTGCCACGAAGTCTAGGCAAATACATGTGTAGAGTTTCAAAAACATTGTGTAGTGTTTCAAAAACACATGCAACACTTTGCTTGCCATCACACCCTGACCCGCTGACAAGTGACTACGACCGGTGGCTGTGAGTATGTGTGGCTGTGTGTATGTGTATGTACCGTTTGTTGAACGCTGCGCGCACGCGTACAATTAGTGCTCATGTAAAGTGTCAAATATTGTCAATACAACAATGCAAATAACTGGAGTACAAAAGCAGAAAAGCGCAAAAGCTACACAACGCGCGATGTGCAAACAGTGCGCGCAATTGTTGCTGTGTTTATTTGTTTGTTTACTTAGTTAACAATGTGTGTAGGCGTGCATGTGCCTGAATGGAAAAGTGCGCGACGCGCCCAAAACACTCGAAAATTCATTCATCGCCACGGCATAAGTCACATACAATACTAGCGGCTGTATACTCATATATGCATGTGCATGTATGTGTACAAAAGCGTCATATGTATATATATTTTTGTGTTACTCAACTTTATTAACTCTTTATTGCATTTATTTGCATAGCTTAATTTTATTATGATTACTCGCTGGAGTCATTAGCTGAGTGCCTTTGTAGCAGGGCGGCTCCGTTGGTGGCTTTTCTTTTCAACTTCGTTTGTGTTGTCGCTTTATGGCTTTAATCTATTTGAAAGGAAATGCTTGTAATGCGCAGCTTTGTACAAAAGCCGACGGAAATTCAGTTGTTTATTGTGCGGTTATTGTTTCTGGCTTTTGTGGCGTGGAAAATCCGCTTTGCTTGCAAAGCACTCATACGTCATGTACGACTCACTTTTTAGACTCACTGAATGTAAATAAATTTATATAAATTGCATTCTTTTGAAAAGATTTTTATTTGACTATTTCAACAGCTAATTTTCATAATTATGAAATGAAGTGCACCTGAGCACCCATCGCTCGAGTTTTATTAAGAAATAGCCGCGCTATCAGCAACAMCGAGTTGCTTCGAGATAAGATAAATGTGAAAGCTGTGCAAAAAGCTAAAAATCTTATAAGAAAAGTCAATAAAAAAAAAGTCTCATAATAGAAATGTTTGCCTACATTGAGGCGTGTTCGGAAATAAATTAATAAAGACAAGCACCTACTGTTGCCTAAATCTAGGCGTGATTATAAATAATCTTAGTAAAGATAAGCATACCGTTCTATATTTTTGGACTTAAAATGCTAAAACTCTTGTAAGAAAAGTTAATTCAGTTTTTATTGGAGAAAATATGGCAATAAAACAAATTTTTGCCTCCATCGCGGCGAATTTAGCAATATCTTAGTAAAGACAAGCACCTGCTGTTGCCTACATTTAGGCGCCTGTGTAGGTATCTTAGTAAGGACAAGCACGTCGTTCGTTATTGCTACTAAAAATAAATTGTATTTTTCAACTCGAAAATAAAACAGAAAGAGTGTTTGTATATTTTTCAACTCGAGAAAAAAACAAAATATATGTTGTATCAACTACTGCTGTTAATGAAATTAAACAGAACTGCATCTGTAGATAGGAAATAAGATGAGTATTAGGAAGATCTGCGTTTGTTGGCGCTTGGCAGTCGCCAAAATTCTTGTGACTGCTGCAAATTGCACGAAATCTAGGGAGTACTCCTCCTTGGGCAAAGCCCGCCTTTTTCTAGTTGTGCGGATTCTAAGTGCTTTTGGCTTGAGCTCAGTTGTGGAAATTGCTTCGCCTTTTCGAGACCAAGTCTGAAACTCCTGGATCACACACTATCAGTCATAGAGTATAAGCAGTTTTGAAGCGAACTCAGTGCTCCTTCACAGAAGCTCACCTTTGCGGGACCAAGTCTCAGATAGATTTTACGCTATTAGTTCTTTAGTAGAACTAAATTTGGTCTGATCGTATATAAAATCGAACCTAATCTGCATTGTGCTCAAATTTAAAAGAATTAAAAAATATAAATTTAATCTATATTCAGTTAGTGAAAGCTTGCAAAAGCTAATCTAGTAACAGTCCAACAACCGTCACCAAAAATCACCTGAATTTATATATATTTATAAATTATGTTGTATATCGCTTCTAAAAGCCTTAGGTAGCTTTTAGACGTTGACATTTTTTTTAATATTCCAGAGCTCCCCATCCACAAAGCTAGAGAAAAAGCTCTAGCAATTATTGGAAAACAGTGTCGTCACCTGCTAAATCTAGGTCACTGTCAAAGAGTTTGTTATTTCAAATACGCTGAATGATACTTAGCAAAGCAAGTTGTATATTTAATAAATTCTCGTTACACTTAAGATCCACTACAACCTTGCGGCGCTATTGACTCTGACATATATTTTCACAACGTTAATGAAAAATTGCAACAAGCTACAAATCGTTGGCTGCAAAAACAAAATTCTTTCGTCCCACCAACACACACTCTGGCGCATACAAAGGCATACACACTCTAGTGGAGTGCTCTATTGCAAATGATTGCTCAAGACTGTAGCCGGTACTTGTGCGTGTTTGTTTACATGTAACTCTCGCGACACTTAAATGCGGTAACACACCTAGGAGTGCATAGAAAAACAGCGACTACAACAACAAAGCAAACATAAATATGTAAATCAAAACATGCATGCACACAATTAAGAGATTTATGCACTCGTTTATATCCTTGCAAGTGTGTGTGTGTGCCATTCGTCAGTAATATTTCTGTAAAATAATCACTGTCAATTTCATTACGATTCAATCACACACTTCACGCAATCAAAACAAACAACAAAATCGTTATTAAATATATCTGAGCTTTACGTGGAAAATAAGGCATTTAAAAGCGTAAACAATTATGTAAGTGAGTGGCTCCATCATAATCAGCGCTTAGAAGAGTGATGGCTAAATTTAGCTGAAATTGAAATTGAACTTTGGTCTGTGATGAATAAAACGCGAGATTGAACTTTTTAACGCCAATTTCATTTTTCTATATTTTTTGTTGTTAGTTGTTTGCTTTGTCTAAGCCCGAATTTTTGTACTTCTCATGCCTGCTGCTGGCAATAAGACAAGCATGAAGCAATTCACTCTCTAAAGGCTTACAATGATCTATGATGCCATCATTAGCTATTGTTGTTGTTTTAATAAAATTAAAAATTCCTTAATTAAGATAGGTTAGGTTAGGCTGATTGCCCCTTGGATCACTATAGACGCTGTCTCTTATACACATCTAGATGTGTATAAGAGACAGTAAGATAGGTTAGGTTAGGCTGATTGCCCCTTGGATCACTATAGACGCTTGCCCGTTGTGRTGCCCAGAACTCCCAAGTAKGGRTCAAAGARACCATCGCAYARCGACAAAACGCGTAAGACCTGCCAATGTCTACTTAAGACGCCTATTATTGCCTTAGGACGCCTATTATTGTTTGTACCTGTTGTTCGCTTTAAGTTCTACCCCAGTCCAGAAGGCTTTAGCAACCCCAAAAGTGCTAATTGCTGACCATCGCTTTCTGAGCTCTCCAGAAACCCATAGATCCACTCGCTCGTATGCACGCAGACAGGGGAACACCTGCTCGTTCTCAACCTAATGTAGTTTAGTTAGGAGAGATTCTCTCGGAAGCTCATCTGCTTTACAATTTCCGACGATTTTCCACGACAGTCGGGTCTAAGTAAKCGGAACGAAACCCGGATTTGTATCTATAAGGGACTGTCTACTCGGTACAACTTCCCGAAAATAWTTCAAGCACTAGTTTGGAGCTCACTGTCAGTGATTTCAAGGCTTGTAAAGCAGCTGTGGTATCAGAGTCGATGTATACCTCCCTAATAGAAGCCGCATTTAGGAGAATTACATCTACTGCAGGCTTGATGTCTGCCACTTCTGCTTGAAAGACACTACAGTGGTCTTGCAGTCTGAAACAAGATATTCAACCTCCCCTGGAGCTTCAATTCATCAGTATAAAAAATTACTGTGCATCTTTTCCAGCGACTTAGCCCCACCCACAAACCAAGAGTAGGTTCCGGGGCTTGTTGATCCAAGTTATCTGGGATACAGTCGAAGTGAGAGCAGATTTCGCAATATCCCTCTCTGGGACCCTTAATATGTCCAGTTTCCCTGAGTCGGTTATGTCCACGGGTAATGTAACTAGCTGGAAAACTCACTTTTTTCTGTTGTTTTATTTGGAATCTATTTCTGGAAATATTTTGTTAAACTGTCTAAATTATTTCTGCTGAAGCTCAAGTGCTGCTCATAACTTMATTTGGTTCTAATCATGTTAATATTTTTATTTTCCTTCCTATTTTTATTTTTGAAATATTTTATGTAAAAATGCGCACGCGTGCCGATCTTAACGTCACATACATTTTGCTAAGGGTACGCGCACGCGCAAACGCTTCAGCGCACATTACGCGCTCTGTCACTCGATTTGAAGTGAATTTGAAATTAGAAATTGTTTGTKAAGTGGAACACTTGAGCTGTCACAACACGCGCCATTCGAAATATTCAAACAAATACGCGTTGCGAGGGTTGACCACAAAATTGCATCGACTGGTAATTTACATATTTACAAATATATGCATAAAGGTGCACATACCAAAATGATATAATATACTAAGCGCGCTAAATGTGCTAACTTACATAATTTATATATCCCAGGGTCACTTCCTTTTTTCCTGCTTACAACTTCTTTGCATTTCAGTAATGTTATAGTAAATTTCCTGTTTTACCACAATTTATGTGCACTTGTTCTTGTTTACATAACAATTAAAGAGCACTGACAGCGCAGACAAAGTTCTTAGCATTTAACCCGCCACCAACACTGCTGTTCATTTGAGAATATCACAAGCATGGCTGCGCATGCGCAACATATTCTTTGCCCATATCACAAGAATCTTGCTTAGTGCAGCTCAGTTGCACTTGAGACACATACAAACTTGCCCTAAATTCACACAAAAATATCAAGAACTATATTATAAGGGTGCATAAAAACAACAAGACAAGACCACATTGACTACGCTCAATTGTACTGTAAACATTTGTAAGTTATTTATAGGCAACTAAAGACTAAAACGACTTTTATGGCAAGGAAGTTGCATGGAATAGACAATGGCGTTGTCAAACTACTGAAGGGAGGACTGAGTACACATACGAGTACATAACATAACTCGAGAAAACAACATTATTTTATCTTCCTAATTTCTGTCCCAGTTCTCCAAGTGTTGCGAGCGGAAGTGTGGCGAAATTTATGAACTGCAAAGCGAGTGTTTGTTGTCTATTTTGTTTCGCGCTTTGTTATGAGTATTAAATKGGGTTAAATACTTTTGATTAATATCTATGCTGATAATTTTTAAGGGTGAATTGGAATGGTTAATGTACATATATATGGTATTTCTGGTAAGATAGGTCAATACAGAGCAAGATTGATACGAGATCTCGACATGATACATCTTAAACGAAACGAATTGAGGAAACTTTAAAGTAGTTGTAAATAAAGGTTTATTCTAATCTCGTTCGTGACGTCACGCACTAATACACTTCGTGTCAAATAATCCCTGAAATTGTAACGGCATTAAGCTGTCGTCATCTTCCAAAATATCGAAATTGTTAATAACTGTTATGAGCTTAGTTATTATTAAATATTAGGTTGTCAAAAAAGTCTTGCGGTATTTTCGCTGGTAGGCGCTGAGAGCGAGTATTTCTAGTTTTATTCGTCGCATCGGGTCATGCTATACCTTTTTGGAAAGCTCATTTCGCGCGCTAACACGCGTTTGATTGTCGTTTCTTTTAGGTCGTTCGTGATTTATAGCGTCGTAAACATGGAGCAAAGTAAAGAGAAAATACGGCATATTTTACAGTACTACTACGATTAAGGCAAAAATGCATCTCAAGCCGCCAATAAAATTTGTGCAGTTTATGGACCCGATACAGTTTCCATTTCCACCGCACAACGATGGTTTCAACGTTTCCGTTCTGGTGTAGAGGTGGTCGAAGATGCGCCACGCTCCGGAAGGCCTGTCGTCGAAAATTGCGATAAAATAGCTGAATTGGTGCAAAGAGACTGGCATAGTAGCAGCCGTAGTATCGGTCAAAAGCTGGGCATGAGTCATCAAAAAAAATTTTATGAACAATTGAAAATTGAAAAAATTCAATAAAAAAATACCGCAATACTTTTTTGACAACCTATTATAAACGGCACTGTTTTGAGTAGGATGTTTAGAGAGCATATAGAATCCTCTGAAGCAAACCGCCAGTGAACGCTCCTTTGTGGATAAAAGTTCTTTAAATCTTAGACTAACAAGTTTTTGAACACATTGACCGTATTTTGTATATATGAGTATGTATTAGAGAAGGTTGATTTTTTTTTTTTCTATAAACTCGCTTAAGTGGTAAATGTTCTACAGCTGATGCTGAAAACGGTTCCGAGCGGACAATTCTTAGAGCGAACTTTTCAAAACCTGCATAATCGGTTATATGGTCAATAGAATACCAAAATGCAACCACGTATTAAATTTCAATCGGAAATCTTGAAAACTGACAAAAAAATTGTTTGCTCTTTAAAAAAAAATCGAATTAAAAACCGACGGTTTTTCCTTTTCTTGACTCCCTGTAGATCAATTTGCTATAGTATGTACATTTAGTTGTCAAACACGTCTACACAAATTTCATTAAATTCTGCCTCTCTTTACTTGCAGAAAGAACTGCGCGACACCTGCTACTTCAACGAAACCATCGTACACGGTTATTTCGTGTTTCGTTCCGTAGTCGATCTGCAGCGACGTGTCGGCTTCACGCACCGAGGTAAGGCGGTCGGGCCGAAGAAGAATGTCAACGACGCCTGCTATCTGTTCACGAAGATACAAGCCGATCAGTTTTTCCATCAGCACACCGATTATTTTGCACCGAAATCGAAGAGCACCAAAATCATCAGCGGCATTTCCAACGCACCGCAAACCACAACCGCCACACACACAACATCAGGCACCTTAGCGCGTTCAGCGTCGCAGCGAGCAGCGCTCTCGGCCGCCGCCACAACAGCGACTGTCACGGCGACAGCAACGCAACGCAATCACAACAGCAACAACAGGCTATTGCGCACCAACAACAAGAATAAGCGTGTGAATGGCATGCGCAAGAGCAATAGCAGCAACAACAATAGGAACAGTAACAATAACCAAAATGAAGAGTACACTAATGGCCATAGTAGCAATTTAAGCAGCAGCAGCAACCATAATAATAACAATAGCAATCAAAGCCTGTCTCTTATACACATCTAGATGTGTATAAGAGACAGCAATAGGAACAGTAACAATAACCAAAATGAAGAGTACACTAATGGCCATAGTAGCAATTTAAGCAGCAGCAGCAACCATAATAATAACAATAGCAATCAAAGCAGTAATATTAACCACAGCAACAGCAGTAATTTAGTTAGCAATAGTCAGCAGCAAGTAGATTTAAGTCAGCAAAGGCAACACAACAACAACAGTAATGGTCGCACGCGCGAACACGTGCGTCAGCAACAACAACATCAACAGCAGCAGCATCAAGTGCGGCATCATCACAACGATCCGAATTTGGTAGCGCGTCGCCAGCACCACGAGCACAARCAGAAACGGCGACAGCATCAGCGCCTGCGCAGCGGCAAAATAACTAGTCCAGCAACAACAACAGTGGCGCACGAACGCGCCACAGCGACAACAACGACGAGAGCCMCTTATARCACGACAGCRACAGGCGTTGTCGCGCACAGCAAGCAACAGCATGAAAAAGACGCGCGGCACGAACCGCAAGCGGCGACCGTGGCCAATGTCGCGGCTAAAGCTGCAACGGCAACGTCAATAATCATGAAGTCAACCACAACAATTGCCAATAAWCGCAAAGGACGACGAAGAAAGGGGCGTAAGCARMGAAAGCAACAACAAACACAGCGCGCGCAGCAACAAATGTTGCCACTGGTAGCGCGTGAGCCYGCGAAGGCCGCGCACTCACCAACYCCGACCACTTGGCTGTGGAGCGATTCGCCRACGCCACCGCTCTACTCACTTTCAACGCAAATGCTAGCCGATGTGCCGAGCAGCCTATCGCCCGCAACAACATTTGGCGATTACAGCGGTGAATGGATGACCTCAGTGCCAATAAACGTCGACGCGACGTCCATCGACACCGCAGCGCCTTCCTCTCAAACACCAACTCTRTCGACGCTGGTGGCATCGGACACACCTACACCAATATACTTGGTCTCAACGACCGATCTGAGCGATGGCGCGTCGCCGCTCATGTCAACAAACGATTACAACAACAACACAGATTTCACGAGCGTTGTGCCAGCGGATGAGGAGTCGTCGCTGAACGCTACCTTTATTACTGAAATCGATGAAAGCAGAATGTGGCCGGAGCCTACAATAGCCCTAGACGAGCAATTAAACAGTATTACTTCCGAACAACAACAACAACAATTTACAACACAAAATGTGGCAACACCAGTGTCAACAGCGGAGTCTATCGCGCCCACATCAACCACTTGGTCAGAGAGCAGTGAGCAGTATTGGTCATCAAGCACAACAACTAATGAAACTGATGACCTTGAAACAGTGTTCCCCTCTCCCACAGCAATTGTCGACACTGAAAGCGTGGCAGCCACAGCAATTTTTTCTGAGGATGGCAATGTGACAGAGGAGACGCAAACCGCAGCTGAGGCCACCGATTCATATGCAACAAGCAATTCTACCTCCAGTGAAATTGAAGCGGAAAGTAGCAGCAGCACCTACAACGACGTTGGCAACACCGAAGCACTGACGGAAGTCGGCGACACACAAAGTACAACAACTGCACAGCAAAAAGTCTACAGCTTACCGGCTGAGCGCGGCCATATCGGCCACATGTGGCGAAAGCAGTCCGGCATCGCGGCGAGCATAGCCACACTGCTGCGCCAACAATTGCTGGCGACTAGTGCCAGCAGCGGCAATGTGTACGCTTGGCGTCCGCAGCGTGGTGAAGAATACTCAGATGAAATAATCGTGGCAACAGGACGACCAGTGGACGCAGAGCTCGAAACGACAACCGATGTTGCTTCGGGCGACCGTGCAACATGGTGGCAACATCATATGAATCACAGCGGCACTAACTTTTGGGACAAAGGCATTGCTGATGAGGTGCCGAGCGGCGGCGACGATGCCGATTTGGACTGGCTGAAGCAGCTCACCAAGCAACGAACTGCCAGCAAGCGCAGGCATAACAACCGCAAGCCCAACAACAACAGCAGCAGAGATGTTGAGGCCGTGTCCCAGCAACCTTTGCAAGCGCTGTCGACGAGTGATTCCAGTCTTGGTTTTGGCAAGAAATATGTGCCGGAAGGCAAATCACAACGACAAAGCAGCAAAGCGCACAGCGGAAACAACAAATCGCCAGCAGCAACGACGTACACGACACAGCACGAGTACAGCAGCACAATGGCAACATCGCGCACCAGCAGTGCAACAACGCACAGCGCGGGTGTTATTACGCCCGCAACAACAACCGCAAGAATGAAGGATAATACATTGGCAACAACAACGCCAACACAACATTTATACCCGCTACAGCAGTTGCTGGGCAATAAAACTGTTTTGCCTCTACACAATCCACGACCTTTGGCGCACTTCGATGGTAACAGCAATCACTTGGCACACACACACACACCCACAGCAAGCACGTTCAGCACAACCACTTCCGCCRCTGCGCCCACTTCCACGACTGTAGCCGGCGACGCGACCACCGCCATCGCAGCGTTAACCACCAAAAAGTCGATACGCATCTCAACGCAGAAGCTGCTGGCCACGCCCTTTCATCAGCTKACCTATGTGCGCAACAACGCCGGCGACATTGATATCGACAACATGGACAACATCAGCGTCTATCCGGACCTGCTGGAGGAGTCTGGCGAGCTGGCGGAACAGCGCTCGACGGAGCGCGCCGAAACCGACGCAACACGCAATAGTCGGCTGACAATCGTTAGTGGTTATCTGCCAACTTCGGCCACAGCGACGCTACCCGAATCGATACGACTTGCTAAGGTCAAGATAAATAAGGAGAGAAAGCGTATGATGAGCCTGCGAAAAAGGCATAGTAGGCGACACGCGTAGTCGTGGTTTGAGAAAAATTTAAGCATTTAGCAAATTGTTATGTCTAGAGTTATTGAACTTAACCACACACTTACGAAGTGACGCTTTGAAAACCAAATGCCTAGCAGCTTAAAAGCTTTACAAAGTTGACAGTGAGCTCATGTCAAGTCATATGGTCTAAAAAATTTGCAAATATTTCCAAAGCGCTTACTTTGCATTAGCAGTTAGTGAAAGCTTATAAACGACAGCTTGTGCTTGTACAGCTTTCTTTCGGTTAAAAATAATCAGGCTTGTTTGTGCGCAGATCAGCAATAAAGCAAAAAAGCACAAAGCATGCAAGCTTTTTAATGATGATTTTCAAAATTTTTCACCAAAGTATTGGTTGTTCTAAAAAGTTCACAGTGAGCTCATGTCAAGTCATATGGTCTAAAAAATTTGCTAATATTKCCAAAGCGCTTATTTTAACAGAAGGAAGTAGGTAGTGAAAGCTTAAAACATTGCATGAAAGCTCATWAACGAAAGATTGTGCTTTTAAAACAATTTATGCTTAAAAATAGTTGCGGTTTAAGATTTCTACTGAAATATAAACTGATTAAAAATTATTGAGAATCTACAGTATATGTTGCATAACGATTATATCTTATAGATATTAGAAATCCACAGTTTTTCAGCGATAACAGATGAATCAATTGGATATTTCACAGCGAAAACCCACACATTTTAATTCACGAAACACCGAACATGACGCAGAGCCAAACTCATACAAACACGAATTGCACGAACGCTGCGTACTCGCATACGAAAATACACGTTTTTGAGCGCCACAAACCATTACTGTGTTGCAGAATATGGCGAAAGACCGTTAATAACTGTAAACACTGAATAGTTTAATAGACAATGTTTAACACATATTTTGTTGCAGTTTATTAAAAACAAATGAGACAATAAACAGCTGGCATAYGTAGCTTATGGTTAAAAAATATATGTAACGAAGCAGACCACGCCAATACAGATGCGAGGGAAGTAAGAAATAGGCTCGAAAAAATACATGTCGTCACCTAAAATGCAAAGCAATGTATCATCTAAAAACATATAAAATCGTTTTCAGCTATGATAACCAAAATATCACCATTTTATAACCCACATATGAGTGTATGATAACCAAAATATAACCATTTTATAACCAAAACTCAATATTTGGGTTTATATTTGTTTTTTATTATAACCTTTTTCCTTCGCCTGTTATTTTGCATTTTACGTGACGATATGTTTTCAAAAATTCTACTTTTGAAAATAAACAAAAGAATAAAAATAAATAAATAGTTCGTAGAGCAAAGAATTTTTGACAGAAATTATTATTAAAGCGTTAAATGTGCTTTTTGATATATGCAGAAAGCTAACTATACGAATATAAGTGCATAAATTTAGTAACAAAAGAATTAGTATCTAATAAATGTTTAAAATTTGCACGATTAAGCCTTGGCGAAGCGAAAAAATATTATCTTAAAATAAATAAAAATAAACTACAGCAAACAAACAGTAATTTCAACTGAAAAACGAACGTTTTATCAACTAAATCGCACACAGTAACACTTCCAAAATACCAAGAAAAAATATATATACGAAAACATAGTGAAACAATTTGAAAAAATAARATTTAAAAATCATATTAAATTGTTTGCAAATTTAACTAAACCGATAATGCAAATATACCTTTGCGAAAACGAAAAATGCTTGGGTTGAAAATATAAAAGCATCAATTTACTAAGACRATTATTTATTTGAGAACAGTGGTCAAATATACAAGAATTGAAGCTACAAAAAATTCAATAACAAAAAAAATATCAAAAAAATAACAAAAAATTATAGTACGAAGCAGATTTTCCTATAATTACAGCAATAATTAACCACAGCAAAGAAATATTAAACATTTTGCATTAAACCAAAAAGAAAAATAAGGAATTTARACTTTTGCAAGCATACTAGGCGAAAAAGTATATACAATTAAAAACAATTTAATATAGCAAACACTTAAGGGAACTATTTATTAAAGGCGAATTATAGCAACTACTTAATTAGATGAATAAATTTATTTAAAAAAAAAAATTAATATTAACGGTATAGGATTGCAGAAAAAATTTCCAAAATATGAAAGTCTGCAAAAAAGGCTACAAAATATTTTCTATTTAAAAAGCCACTGAAGAAGTAGGAAACTGTTTTTGTATTAAACAATTTGAAAATTTTAAAAGAAAAATTTTTGAAAATTTAAGTATTCACTGAAATAGAAAACTGAACTAAATAATTTTGAAAATTTGCAGGGTTTTATATTCTTTATATATACATATTTATTATATTATAATTTAGTGTTTTTGTTATTTGTATACAAGATAAATCGCGCTCACACAATCGAAAGTGTGATGAAAAGAGAAAAACAGTGCGCTGATTGGTCGGACTRACGCACTGCACCCGACTCAAGCATACCAGCAAAAGTAATGCACAAAGCAAAATTATGCTGAAAAGAGCAAAACTGTACGCTGATTGGTCACGCTAGTTTACTCATAATAGCAATAGTAAGCAGAGAAGAGCAATGTGGAGCGCTGATTGGTGAATTTATAAGTTAAGGCGCACTTTGCTAGTTTTGTGTGGCATAATCGATTATTATAGTAAACTCAGCCTGCAAATAAACTAATATTTTCTACATTATTTCCAAAACATTATTAATTTTTAATAGACCGTTAAACAAATATTTAATACGAACTTCGCTAATAGAAKTATCAACAAARCACTATAACAAYACATTTAAATAAAGAAAAAAATATTACAAAGTTAAAAAAAAAAAAATGTTACCAAAACAAATTTGTTGCTCGAATATTTATTAACACTTACATATATAACAGCAGAGGAAGAGTATATTATTTATAACCGAATGGAAAACAAAAAACTAACCGAAATCCTAAAGTAACAAAAAAGAGCTGTTTCATGACTTCAAAACCACAGAACCTGAGGAATATATATATCTATATATATATATATATATATATATATATAATAATGAAGACTTAACCAAACGAGAAATGGAATGTTGAGAAAAACTACTTTATAGTTAATAAAAATAATTTCCATTTCCACTAAAAATGTAAACTTAAAATTAAGCCTAAACATAAAAAAGTAAAAAAGAAGCGTATGAATTTGTATAAACGAGCGTACGGTATAATGAAATTAATTAGTACATAATTAAATATGGTTACGTATATGTAATAATACGTGTACTTGAAGCTGCTCTGGCGAAAATGTAGGAACTGCTAATACATGAAAAATATATGGAGAAACTACCAAGCCACAAGAAGAGTGTATAAAGTACACTGAAGCACAGTTTTAAAGCCAAGCCGTTGAATAAGATCGAATAAAACAAATAGGCAGCAACTAAAACAGAATACATTGTAAAAATAGAGCTTAGATTTATTTTTAGTTTAATTTTAATTTTCACAAATTTTCTTTCAATATTTTTTTTTTCTGTAGACATATTTTGTTAACTCTACTGTTAATGTAATGCATAAACAAATAGTGTATTAACGCTTTTTTTGTATTGTAATAAATATATATTTTTCACTTAACCCAAAATAGGTATTTAAACTAGTTGAGAATCTAAACAATAAGCAAAGGAAAATATGCAGAAAATACGAAAAAAAATATTCATTCACACACTTCAGTTAACTACTAATTGCATAAGGCTTAGACATTTATAGGAATAAATATGTATGTAGAGTATTAAAAGGAGTGGAAAACGATAGAAGTGTAATGCAGCAGGTACTATAAGTAAAAAAAGAAATGATTAATGGCAACAAATATGCTGGTTTTAAATATTGTAGCATAAAAGTGAAGTAAAAGCTAACGACTAAACAATAAAAAACAAAACAAAATGAAAACAAAACGAAAATGTTTAAACGCCAATATTTGTAAATTAATTTTGCTGCCTCAAAATATATAAATATGTATGTATGCTGTCTCTTATACACATCTAGATGTGTATAAGAGACAAGAGCAAAACAGTGCGCTGATTGGTCGGACTAACGCACT